TATTTAAGCTCAAGGCTCCCGCCTAGTCAAATAAGCATATCGGGAGAACCGATATCAGGTAGGTCTCGAGAGCTCCCCCTTGGAAAAGGGAGGAAAAGGAGGAGATGGGGTGGAAGGAGGGATTCTTCCAAAACGAAGATAGAGCAGTAAGATAGAGCAGTATGGAGAAAACGATCCATTTATTGTAAACTAGGATCACTCTGATTGAATTATTACTGATTACAGATGAGCAGCCAGTCGTGCTCAATTAAATCACATGCTTCTCTCGAAATTAGTTTATGAAACTTAACATAGTGGTATGTTTTCGGAATGAGCCTGGGTTGAACGTAGCGAATGCACAGTTACTTTTTCAGTGGATAGAAAATGTTATTACTGAAACTAGATACTTTGTAACTCATTACATTCAACACTGCGCAATACACATAAAAGTTGCTTTGGATGAAAGTTTCTGCCAATAGAACTCACATAGTAGAGCATTCTACAAACTTCTCTTGTGTTTTTTTGGGAGTAAAAATGTTTTGGAGAGGGGTCTCGATGAAGACTTGGTGCAGTTGCAAGGTGAGCTGCATCCAATGCTTTTAATGCGCACACCTAACCTTAACCTTTACAGTGACATCACTAGCTCCATTGAGTGCATTGTGTCTGACATTGCATCTCTGAGATATGCAGCCTCAGTTTGCAAATTTAAGTCAGCATCCAGATGCTGTTGACTGAAATAAGGGTAAGTAGGTTATTTTCATTCTCCAGATTTCACCTAATTGTATTGTTAGGAAGTCCTTGTCCTGAGTTATGCAAGCCATGCACTGCACTTTCTTCATTTTCAAAGTCAGATGGTAGATTTACTCTAAAATCTATTAGAGAATGCTTCACTGCAAGCCATCTCCCATTTGCCTATAATTTAGAGAGATGAATATAGACAAATTGCTAAAATAGGATATCAACTTGGTTCTATCAATGGTTGTTTACTATATTATAAATAAACATAAGCTGCTGACTGTGAAGAACTGGGGTTCAAGCTTACTCAATTATTGGGAGAAAATACTGTTTACTTTTCTGACATCTTAGGGAAAATATGCTTAGCTACACCCCTCCAATCATTAGTTTGCTGTGAGTGAAAGACGATAGTAAAAATAATACCTGCCCATACTCAATATTCTGTTATAGTTGGAAATACATCATACGGAAATGAATCTTCTACAGAGCATCCAAAGTCAACTGTAGCACAATGCAATGTGAGTCATAGCCATTATCTCGGGTCATATGTAGTCACCATAATTTAGTGAAGCACAAACGAGTCTTTCATTTTACCTCCTCTTGAATTTTTATTATAATATGTGGTCGCTCCAAGTGAACTCATAACCTTGGGTCAACACAGCATGCTCTATGCAACAGTAGCTCTACAGAATACAAGAAAGTCATTAAAAAATAACAACCTGACTATCAGAGGAAAGTAAACCGGGTCTCCACTGAACGCCTGAGAGTACACTGCCTCACATAGTGACCGAGATTTAAGAATGATGGTCAGAATGCTCGAGTGCATTCCTCTCAGGATAAGCAAGCAGGCTGTTCAGTGTCAGACACACATTTTAAGCAAAGAAATATCAATGTCCCATTTTGGCTCATCGAACTGATATGCACTGTGCAAACAATAGATTTCACTAACAATTACAACTTCCTGTTGGACAGGGCTAGTCTTTCCATGCGGAAATCGGCGTGCTTTGAGAAGATCCTGTGAGATTCTCTTGCACAAGGAAAATAAAAGTTGATTAAAAACTCTGCACCATATAGGGTTTCTGCATAATCTAAAAGTTTGGGGTCAGTAGGATGCTTCTAAAGCAAGCTCTTTTGCAAACTATGCCTGCGTTTAATAGATCATATTGTAAATCCAAATTATAAAGATACACTGTTAAAATGTGTACTGTTTGAAATAACTGTATTTAGTGCATTTTACATTATAAACTGTGATGTCAGAGCTGAATTTTTAGTAGTAATTATTATTGACTCTCATATAATCTTGCAGAAATCCCTTTAATATTCTGATTTGAAGCTTACGTTACATAAATTAATTTTATTTCATTTGAATTATCTTATTATTTCTTATCTGATTAAAATGTTGAAAAGTTTTACTGCTTAATAACATGGAAACAGTAATAATTTTTTCCGGTAATATAATCCTTCAGAAATCCCTTAATATGATTTAAAGCTTAATAAACATGAATTCAAGAGTTCACATTTAGCTGATGATTGATTATAAAGCTTGTTTGACATGCTGTCCCAGGAGAGAGGCCTGAGCTCATGAGATCCACAAGCCCAGGGCTTCCTCCCGTTGCAGGACGAGAGGGGAGTTTGAGCTCAGGTAAATCTCGAAACTCACCTGCTGTTGTAGCTTATGAACAAATAGGAATTGCTATGAAAAGATAACTACTTACTAGTCGCACATTTATGGTGCCGATTAGGATTAGTCAATTACCTTAAGTTGCATATTTTTTGAAGGTGGAAGGAAACCAGGGGAAACGCACGGGGGCACGGAGAGAACATAACTTTTGAGAGAACATAACATTGAGTGGCTTGGTAAGAACTAGAACCAGTGATGTTCTTGCTGTGAGTCAACAGTGCTAACCACTGGGCCACCGTGCCACCCATCTAAGAAAGAAGAAGGAGTAGAGGTGGAAGGTTTTTTTTTTTCTAAACGAAGATGGCTGTGGTATAGAACTTAAGTTATTTATGGAGACTTAGGAAATAGTCTAGTGAATCATAAATTGGCTAAAGCGGGACCAGCTGTGATTGATCAAAAGCATTTGATCCTTTCGTAATTAGTTTAGAAATAAAGTTCACTTATTTTTACATTTTTTGAAATTATCTTATGATTTCTTATCCTATTAATATGTTGAAAACAGTTTTGTTGCTTAATAATATGGAAACAGTGATGTGTTTCCCAGTATTCTCTGAAGAATTAAATTTATTCTGGCTCCTATCTCTTGAACAGTAGCCGTCTGAAATGTTTTTCTAACATAAGAATTTTTCTCAGCCTCCCCTGTTCATTTAGTTAGTTCACTTTAAAGGCAATGAAAATAACCTATTCTTTGCCTTAAAAGTGAGTGAACAAATTGCTGAACGTACACACAGGAGCTTCATAAAAAAAATAATAATAAAGTTAGAAGAAAATTTCAGAGGCCACTTAAGTGCATTTTGCATCTGAACTCTTTTATATAGACACACATATTGTGGGTGGCATGAGTCTTTATAAAGTAAAAAAAATAAATAAATATATAGCCTAATATTACATTTATAAGTAATAAGTTAATAGTAAATGGATTTTATGGGGTTGTATTCCACTGTATTGTATAGACAGGCACAGCCATTTGAGTTCTAATTGAACCAAACAACCTCGACACACCTGTTTACTGTAGGACCTGCCACTTTTTATATTCATATAATTTTTTTTATTTCCATGATTTATATAAATAAAACCGCCATTTTTTTTAATTAAATGGCATAAATATATATGTTTAAGCCTACAGGCTAATTCACAAATTTCATGATGTGAATTATAATAATAAACAGGATTTTCTTTTTTTAATACAAGACAACGCGTGATGTTTCTATCTCTGTCAGTGACTCTGATAGTTAAAATTAGTCCATTAAGTGGTTATGTCACTGTGTTTAATGCTTTCCGTGCACGGAATAGTAAATGCCACATGCACTGTAATGTGTTTTATATCGGTAGTTCGATTTGAAATAAATATAGAGAAATTTTCTTTGGAGAAATCATCTGTAATTATGAGGTGAGCACAGACGAAGCAGCAGATGGGAAACCCGATTGCTCCTCCATGACATTGGGGTACAAGTGATACAATGTCTATTTGCAGTATTTATAGCAAAGAACTGCAAATAAGCAGATTTTATAACAATTTATTAATAAACATACACCTAGTTCTCTTGTTCTTCACAGTATGGGTTTGCTGATCAAATGAAAAACAAAAGACATGGAGGAGCCATATTCTGCTGCTTTTTATATTAAATTTAAAGAGGACTAAGGCAATAATTTAGAGGACAGTTTATGAGAAAAATGGCAAAAGGATTAGGGGGGCCTCAGTCCTTCTAAAATAGGCTTGGTGATTTCCATGGTTGTATCGCAAGTGATAAAGGAATGAAGATAAAAAGAAACCACTGCTTTTAACAAATATAAACAATGTAAAATCTGTGATATGTAATAATATACTTAATATTACGATGCAAAAAAAAATATTATTTAACAAATCTAAATAAGTCAGTTTCATCTATGTACATTTGGTTTTAAAAGATCTGTAAAGTCTAGAGAAAATGAAGTCAATCTTCTGATTCTGCATGGCTCATGGACACTGGCTTGGCAGGCCATTAAACAGATGGAGGAAGAGGTAGTGACTGCTCCCGACTACAGATGAGAGCATGACCATCTGCACCTGCTTTAGCCATACAGTCCAGAGAAAAGTGACTCAATTCAACATCACAGGCTGATGATTAAACAGTCCATTTGATCATTATCGCCAGCAGGCAATAAACAGTCACTCGGATCATCCAACTACTCCATTTATAATTATAAAATGTGTGTATGTTGTATATATTTTGGCAGTGAACAAAATACATTGTATGGGTTTTATTTTATGCAAAAACTATTTTTAATGAGTATTATACATTATAAGGGTTTAATTTGGACAACTTTAAAGATGATTTTCTTAAATGAAATGAAAGCAAATAAAAAAAAAACAATAAAATTAAGCTTCAGATTTCAGATTTTCATATTGTGGTATCCCAGCCAAATATTGTCCTTTTCTAACAACCCATACATCATTGAAAAACCTATTTACTCAGCATTCAGATGATTAAAAACTTTATATTTAAAAAGAAATCTGACTTATGACTAGTCTTGTGGTCCAGGGTCACACATATTAAACTGGACTATAAGCAATAATGATAAACAACCTGACAGTAATGTCAAGTCCTGAGAGTGTCATTCATACCTGCCAACGAAATTTTCCAGTACAGAGCTTTTGCCTGCACTCTGACCCCCGACCACCGCGATTTGAGGTAGGTCCAGGTCGCAGTTTTGTCCTATGGCGCTGAAGGCGTCCTGCAGCCGGTTCACCAGCGGGATGAGCTCCTCCATCCCCCGGTTACCCATGGTTACAGAGCCACGAGGATGCGGCGGCACGTATCACCGGCTTCAACAAACAATTCCCTTGCTATACGTATAAAAATAAACAAACTAATAAGGACGAGAAGGGAAATAACATTACCTTGGTGTTTTAAAATAAGTTTATCTCCAGACGTAGTGTTTGAAATAAACATTGACAAATTATTACAAGCATATGCTACATATAGTGATATATAGTTGTCCTTCCTTTCAAAGTTTATGATTAACATACCAATCACCTAAGTGTGTAAAACAAATGCAGGTTAATTACCTGTAATAAGTTTTTTTTTTTTGTCAGGGCGTTTGGTCCTGACAGATGGAGCCGTTCACCCAGAGCTCGTATAACGTTAAGTTACCAGACACTGTAGCAGTGAGCAGCAGCGACTGAGCACACACACAGCCACACGCCCCTTTAGACACTTCGACGAACCGAAAGGAACTGGACATAAAGAAAGCAAACAAACCGTTTTCAACGTAACTCGGCTGTTTTAGTCACTCGTTTGTCCTGAACCCAACTTGTGGTCGAAATCTGACAGCGCTGTCCGTTAATCAGAGTGCGCGTGCGCGTGCTCGCGCAGACGCCACACCTCTGTGAATCAGAGTTGGTGCTTTTTTAATTTAATTGTGCTGTTTTGTTTGCTTTTTAAATTATTATTAACACACAAAGTATAAAAGTAAGAAAAACCTCAAGTAAAGTAAAATAGCAAAAGGTGACGTAGGCTAAATAAATACTAGTAGCCTGCGGCGCGTGCTCGAGACTCTTTCCCTTCACCTCCACTATAAACCGCAGCAGGTTGACCAGAATAATTATCATCGCTAAAATACGTATTTTCAGAGTTTATTTATCAAAGCGCAACTTAGTTGGCTCTAACATGTGACACCACTAAAAAGAAGTGGTAGAATGCATAATGCAAAAACAATAGTTAGTATTACGTAAAGTGATTATAAATTGCTTTCTATGACCTCCACCTTTCGACAGATGAGTGCATGCCACTGTAGGGCACATCCACCCTCATTTCAGCTAAATAGAATCATCCAGTATAAATAACACTGCATACTGTAGCAACTACAGGGTTGCCAGATCAATTATTTTTTCATTTCAATTATATTATTTGTAATGGATGGGTTAAAAAAAACTCAAGAATAGACTTGCCACGATTATGAATTTTGGGCTGATGAATGTCAAACAACTAATTGAACATAAAAATGTATTTCATCAAACCATAAAAAAGTTATATATAATCAAGGCATTTTACTGTGCATTTCCTAAGTTGTTATTTTTGTTGTTTTTGTTGTTGTTTTGCTAAATTTTCACATTCACCACCTTATCTTTATCTTTTTAATTGTCTATTACACGTTAATCCTTGATTAGCATTTGCTTTTGTTCATAGATTTTCTTCATATAAATTTTCTTCTGGTCAAAGAACAATCAAATTAATAATTGACTTATGCATATAATTAATAAATATTCATAAGATACATGCAAGAAGTAATAAATCTGTTATATTTCTCTTTGATTTCTTATCTTCAAAATGTAAAAACTGTGAACAGACAAAACAAACATTTTTGTGAAGTTCGTTTAACCATGAAACTCATCAAACGAGATGACATTTTTATGCAATTATTTATTTTACAAAAGAACCCAGGTGATTTTAAAAAGCAAAGTTGCATCTTCTGTATCGATAATAATTTGGGTCTTTAAATAAAGTCCATTTAAAGTCCAGTCTTAAAGTAAAATACACTGTAAACAATGCTGAGTTCCACACAATTCCTTCATGTTGTCCCAACAGAAATTGATTTAGTTAACTTAATTGTGGGTTTTTTTTGTTTTGTTTTTTTTTTTTACAAAATGAACTACATTGTAAAACCAAAAAAGTTAAGGTAACTCAAAACATTTGAGGAATCTGATTGCAACAAACCTTTTAAGTTTTAAAATTAATCCTAATGAGTACTGTGAACTTTATTTATGTAAATAAAGCAATTTGAGCACAGTAAAAGCCAATAAATGAAAAAAAAACTCAGTAACTTAAGGCAAGTCAAACTGTTTAAGAAAAAAGACAAAGCATTTGAGTTAATGAGTAATGAGTATTTAATTAACTAATTACCTTCAACACTGAGTTCAAAACTTTTTTTTAAATGAGTAGAATTAACTTTCAGCCTATTTTGAGTAAACTACACAGATTTCATTTGATAATTTTAAGTGTTGGGTTTTACAGTGTGGATTAAACATTAAACAATTAAGTTTTCTCCTTTCTTTCAAATGGATACAAAAGAAGTGTCTCATTTCTCTCAGAAGGCAAATTGCCTTTTATAATTATGTTAGCAAGTATTAACAAAACAAAGTTTTAAGATGTTTACCCTTCCACAATTAAAAGCATTGACAAGGACTTAAATTAAGCAAAAATCCCCTAAGATGTTGCTGTTGTTGGGGTTCTTTCAACATTTAATGTCATGAAAGAACCCCAATAACAGCAACATAAAAAACCTACAAACATCTACACCCTTAAATCTAAATATATTTATTGTATGTAGCAAAATCAGAAGACACAGTGAAAGTCATTTCCATATTCTATTGTTGAAGATCAAAGTCCTTGTAATCGTCAGCTATTCTTTGTAAAAATTAATCAAAAAAAAGTTGTACATATTGTAATATGGTATTGCTTTTGAAATAATTAATTACTAAACCCATTAATTATATAATTACCTAATTAATTTTAAACCCATTAGAAACCCTGGGCTGATTTAAAATGTCTTTCTTTCAAAGCAGACTTTTGTTCCCCAGAAAGAGCTGCAATAGGGACCAGACTGCCATTTTAAGAAATATCTGGCAACTTGAGGCTAAAACTGGGTTAGTTTCTCAAAGTCCCCATGAAATCACTATAAACTGTTTGTAGATGTTCATATCAGTTTGTTTGTCTTGAGGATATCTATAAGCTAGTGTGCTTCAAAACAGTTACAAAATTCGCATTTAGAAGATATAAACATCCAAAGTTTTCAGTGTGTCAAGATTATTTTGACATCACCACATTACGTTTCTCATCAAATCTTCTGACCAATCAAATGCTCTCTAGTAACTGACATGCCCCACCCCCTTCAAGACACACTTAATCTCAAGCACTCTCACTGGTAGAGCTGTGATAAAAAATTAAACTATATTGGGTGTTTTTTAAAAGGGGTGGAGCTCATCTGTCCCACCCTATCTTTATGTTTCAATTAAAATTATGTCAGACATTGAATAAAAATGAACATTTCAAACCACTTTCCGAGACTTTTAACCTTGAAAGTGATGCCATTTTTTTAAAGTGAAATCATTTATTCATTGTATTGGTTTTGTATTTTGTTAAGATTCCCTCTTCAGACCACTTTCAGGTCATTCAGCATTGCAGTAATGTCTATCTGAGGTGCAGTCTGGCTGTTTGCTCGTAGTGTCTTCTGCAGGTCTTTTGCTGTTTGCTGTAATGTCTGTGGGACGGTGTGAGGTTTGTGTTCTCCTGAGCTTCTGCAACACAGCAGCACCTCATTGACTTCACCCTCGATTCCACGAGAAAACACACATGGGAACACAGAATGAACACGGTCAAGAACTGATTTCCTAAGAGCTGAGTCGCGACACACCAGGTTCAACATGAACAGACCTGCGTTGGGAAAAAAAGAAAGATTGACCATTGAGCAAATGTATATTATACAAAGAAAATATAATGATTTCACCTATTTTAACTTTGTATGCGAAATCATGGATTGATTTATTGGATTAAACCATTAGCATCTTGCTCAAAAATGAACAGAGTTTTCATTAATTTTCCTATTCAAAGCTTGACTCTTCTGTAGTTACGTCGTGTACTAAGAGTGAGAGAAAATTTAAAGCAGCTTTTTTCTAAGTGATTATGGCTAAGAATTATACTCTCATTCTGGCGTAATAATCAAGCAACTTTGCTGCTGTACCATAGCAGTAGCAGGAGCAATAATATTACACCATAACTGAGATCAACAGAGAAGGACAACCACTTCAAACATGGAAGCAAATTGTCAGATAACTTTATTCAGTGGATTCACTAGCACAAAATAATTGTTAGCCTAAAGAATAACAATTTACGCTAGCAAAATAAACGTTTCTTTTGTTTACATAAAGTGCAAGTGCAATATATCTGGCATATTAATATAGGCTCTCTGTTTCGCATGCATTATAGTGTTACAAGATGCCGTTACAGAAATATATACACAGACTTAAAGGGGTGGTCCACTACGATATCATATTTGAAACTTTAGTTGATGTGTTATATAGCTGTGTGAACATAAACAACATCTCTGAATTTCAGACACTTAAAGTTCAATGCAAAGGGAGTTCACCCCATGCAGTGAAGGGGCGTGGCCAGAGGTGCTGTAATGTTATAGCAGAGAAAGCTAAAATGGCATCCAAACGCTGCTATTTCCACAGAGCTTCTTCTGTTTCTGTATTTGGGTTTTCAAAGGACACGACACAAAGACAGAAGCGCTAGCAACTTAATGTTCAAGAGGATTATAATATATATATAATATATATATTAGGGATGCGCCGATATGGATTTTTTGGCCGATACCAATAACCGATAATTCTTCAGACGTGGAGGCCGATAGCCGATATGTATAGGCCGATATTTATAAATATTTCAAAATGATACATTTTTATACAGCAAACTTCATAAAAGATTGAACTGCTCTTATGAACTAAATAGCCTATACTCAAAGCAAAAAAGCTATAACTTCAAAATTGCAAGGTGATTATTGACCTATATTCACGATTTCACATAAATCAGCATGCAAAAATGCATTACTTCCTTTTCTTAATAGCAAAAATTAACATTAAGCAAACTTTACTGTTGCATAAAATTAATAAGGTTAAATAACAAAATGGAATTTAATCAACAAGCAAGTTAAATATATTTAAATAAGATGAAAATGTAAGCACTAAGGATGGAAACCAACTCAAATGGTATTGAATAAAACGGGTTACAGTGATGTACACATGTACAAATACGTCATGTCTGAAAAAGCCTTTTTTACAGGTGTTTTGATAGTTCAGAGCCCCCGTACAAGCGAACAGCTAAATATATATAGTACGTTTAGAAAATGCAGCACAGATTCATCCTATTTGGCGTTTTAGATTCTTTTTAACATGAAGCTGCTGCTTGTCAATCAGACAACGCTTCTTCGGAAAATGTTCGATGAAAAGTTTATGATACACCGCTGTGAGTTTCACTTAACTGTAGAGGCAGAGTTGTTATCAGAGTCAGATTTTCATACAAAACCTGCATTGAGCTGACTTTATGGCAAACACAGAGCTGAATATAAAGACAGAATGAGCGGCTGGTCGAGAGCCTCTATGACTGGATTCACTTTTCCCCCGTGCTACAGTGTGTGTGTGTGCACGGTGACAGCTTGCGCGCTCGTCATAATCAATATGAATATTCGGATCAAACTGAACAAATCTTATACCAACAACATGACCAGCAACGCGTTGATAATAACAAATAATCAGATTACAGACAACCGTTATGTTTACACATGTTGTAAAATGTGTGGGTCGAGCTGCAGTTTGGGTGTGTGTGTGTGTGTGAAGCAAAGAGGGAGAGGGAGAAAGGAGGAGCGGTTTTGGGCAATGAGACTATTTTAGGTGACTGATATGTTGTACCACACGGAAAGTAATAAATATTTTGGACCAAGTTACATGTATCCTCGTTCATTCACCGGCTGCAACTAAAAGAGAAGGCAATTCACCACGAAACTAATATTATTCGGCCCTGGAGTAATAAGTTAAGATCCCCTGCTATCTCTACACAACAAAGAGACGGAGCAGGAAAGGTTTACACATGTAATATTTTTCCTGAGGCGATTTAAACCAAAATACACAAACACATCTACAATCATAAGGAACATGTTTACTTACTGACTTATTAACGTACAGCAATACCACATGAAGAAATGACAGACTTTGAAGGAATAAATAGTGTGGGAGAGATCCATTATAGTGCACTGGGCAAGTCTGAACAAGTTCCGCCCACGCGTGCGCGGCACGCAGGTCTGTACAATTACTTAATTTATCGGCTTAAAGATATCGGCCTAATTTAGACATCGGATCGATAACGATAATCTTAAAAAAAGCATTTATCGGCCGATAACGATATGGCCGCCGATATATTGTGCATCCCTAATATATATATTATCAGAATTATTAGCCCCCCCCCCGTTTTATTTTTTCCCCCAATTCCTTCTAAGCAAAATAGTTTTAATAAAACAGACATACTGTGAAAATTTCCTTGCTCTGTTAAACATCATTTGGGTAATATTAAAAAAGAAAAAAAGAATCAAAGGAGGGCTAAGAATTCTGACTGCAACTGTATATATGATTGAAGTCAGAGTTATTAGCCTCCCTGTTTATTTTTTTCCCCAATTTCTGTGTAACGGAGAAGATTTTTTAAAAACTTTTCTAAACATAATAGTTTTAATAACTTATTTCTAATCACTGATTTATTTTATCTTTGCCATGATGACAGTAAATAATATTTGACTAGATATTTTTCAAGACACTTCTATACAGCTTAATGTGACATTTAAAGGCTTAACTAGTTTAGTTAGGTTAACTAGGCAGGTTAGGGTAATTAGGCAAGGTATTGTATAGCAATGGTTCTGTAGACTATTGAAAAAAAAATATAGCTTAAAGGAGCTATTAATTTTAAATACCTTAAAAGGGTGTTTAAAAATTAAAAACTGCTTTTATTCTAGCCGAAATAAAACAAATAAGACTTTCTCCAGAAGAAAAAATATGATCAGATGTACAGTGAAAATTTCTTTGCTCTGTTAAACATCGTTTGGGAAATATTAAAAAAGAAAAAGATTAAAAGGGGGTAATGATTCTGACTTAAACTGTATATGCATCATTCCTGTTTTTGAAGGTTTTAATTCCATAGTAATACAATTTTCTGTGGAGTTATAATGTTCAATACATTGTTTATTGTGTTTTTCATTCATTTTACTGAAATATACACACACCCACACCCGCACCCACACCCACCCACCCACACACACACACACACACACACACACACACACACACACCCACACCCACACCCCCACACACACACACACACACACACACACACACACACACACACACACACACACACACACACACACACACACACACACACACACACACACACACACACACACACACAAATAAAAAACAAATAGCCTACAATATATTAATGTTAAAATAAAGTGATCAGCCCTTTAACAAGAGTTCCTTACCTCTGGGGCTTAACAAGCTGTAAACTTTCTTCAGAAGAGATGTTTCTACAAAGGCAGGTGGAGGGCAGCTCATGCCCAGGGTGGTGTCTTTGCTGTCAACGTCAAACATGATGACATCAAAATAGCGCTCCCCTACAAAAAGTGGAGAAAAATATAATAAATTCAGGAAGGAATGGGTTGTCTTGTACAATTGAATTTAACCACTTAACTGTATATATGCACATGTAATTTACACTTAATATTATAGATTTTGTATGCATATTATGGGGTGGCACAAAGGCTCAGTAGTTAGCACTGTCGCCTCACAGCAAGAAAGTCGCTCGTTCGAGTCTTAGCTGAGTTAGCTAGCATTTCTTTGTGGAGTTTGCATGTTCTCCCTGTGTGCATGTGGATTTACTCCGGGTGCTCCGATTTCCCTCAAAGTCCAAAGATATGCCCTATAGGTGAATTTGGTAAACTAAGTTGGCCATACTGTGTAAATGTGAACGTGTATGGAAGTTTTTTTATATTACTGGGTTGCGGCTGGAAGGGCATCCGCTGTGTAAAACATATGATGAAATAGTTGGCGGTTCAATCCGCTGATATATAAGAGACTAAGCTGAAGGAAAATGAATGATTATTTGAATGAATGAATGAATGAATGATACACACATTGCGATATCGATGCAGTAACGATATATTGTGCAGCCCTATACATTTTTGGTTGAACTATGCCTTAAACAAAGATGCACAGTGTACGGCCGGCCTCTGATCTAGATGCTTTCTCACCTTCACTCTCCAGGGTTGTGATGTGCTCCAGTCCGTCTCCCAGTGTAACTTTTAGCCTGTCGTCAATCTGAAATCCAAACCAGGTCTGAGCGACATCCAGCACCACCGGATCCAGTTCAACCACCTCCACCCGAGCACATGGCACAAAGTCCCGCACAAACTGAGGCAGGCCGCCACCACCTAGACCCACCAGCAACACAGACACTGGCTGATCTGTTGGAGAACACATGACAGACTGATCAGAACAGGTTCATCTTTGAATTATGCATATTATTGAGAAGAATGGATGTGCAAAGTACAAATATCTGACATATCTCACTCAATGTTAACTTAAAAGTATAAAATCACGTCTGTCACATGTTTGTTAACGCTTTCCTAACATGATTTATCATTAACAAAGCATTTGTTCATTGAATTATTGTAAAGCAAACACTACGCCACCATTATCTATGCCTTATTAACAGTTGCTCATTAACTGTGTTGTTCATGTTATCTAATCCATGGAGAAATACATTAGTGTATGGGTAAGTATAGTTAACAACTCATTAGTCTGTTAATATGTAGAGATACATTAGAATAGGAGTTAACATTAACAAAGATTACAGTATGTAACACTGAATAAATTACATGTCAACTAATATATTAATTAACACATTAATATATGTTTAGTTGACATTAACAAAGATTATATAATGCACAATGAATGAAATAACTAATACATCTAATTAACAGATTTATATATGTTGAGTTAACATTAACAAAGTTTAAGATAATACTAAACAGATGTGTTGTTCACCACTAATTCATGTTAACTAATGCATTAAACTACATTTATGATGAAAATCAGAATCTTTTTTTTTTATTTACTGTTTGAGAGCCCATGATGACTATAAACAGCTGCTGTATGACAAGTGCTACACAATGATTTTTGTTTTGCTTGGTTGTTCAGGAAACAAAAACACAGTATGCAACACCATTTAAGTGAGCACATAATACTTTTTTTTGTTGTATTAACTTTATTCTGTGATGCTAGCAGTAGAAAAAAATGCAAAAATAATGGGAAAAAAAACTTATCTCAATAAATAAATACTTTTATTTAGTACAGATGCAAAAAAAATTGTCAAAAGAGAAAATAAAGGCATATTATTGCTAAACATTTAATTATCAAATAAATGCAGTGAAAATAATCTCTGAATTGAACTTTAATCAATGATTCAAAAAATGCAGCATAAAAAATATAAAACCAAAAAAGTAAATATAAATGTAAAAAAAACATTTTAACAGCACAACCATTTTCATCAATAATGATAAAAATAAGAAAAGTTTTTGTAATCAGCATATCAGAATGATTTCTATGTAATGGCTGCTGAAAACACAGCTCTGCATCACAGGCATGTATCACATAAAAAAAAAAAAACATTCAGGGACACCCGTCATTTTAAATTAGAATAAATTACAATATTATTTGGATTTTAAAAAAATCTTTAACCATGCTAAACCATGCTTTTAAATGAATTTGTATTACTGCCAATCTTCATTTTTAGCAGGTATACTATTAGATTTTTTTACATTTAAAAGTGCACACTTCATCTTTAAAAAAAACTATTTAATGTTATCAAACTTACCTTTATTATTGATTGCATCCATTCCTAGCATTGCTAAACCCGCCACCATGACCTCATGATGCGTACAGCAGAGAAACCCTCTGTCCACACTGCGATCTTTAGCACCAGTTGAAGCAGGCTGTTTGGCTTTTTTCTTGTTCTTCTTTTTAGAAGCAGAAGAAGCTGTAAAAAAAGAAGAATAGCCAAAATAAATCTTCAGTTTGCAGAATATATTTGTTTTTGTTTCTTTGTATATTTATTGCCACATCAGCAACTAACAGCTAGTTCAGTATATCTTAGCATATCATACTATATATTCAGTATATATTCGAGTATATCTTGTATAGAAGTCTTTAAAATTTCACATTTCTAAATACAAGTGTGTCAACCTAGAACAGTGTTTCCCAACCCTGTTCCTGATGGCACACCAACAGTACACATTTTCAACCTATTCCTAAACAAACACACCTGAATCTACTCATCAGAACATTAGAAGTGCCTCCAAAACCTGAAATGAATGGGTCAGATAAGGGAGACATCTAAAATATGTACTGTTGGTGTGCCTCCAGGAACAAGGTTGGGAAACACTGGCCTAGAGTGACCAATTCAGCATCTGGGTATATATAACAGCACCTGCAGCAGCAGATTGGAGTCTGCTCTCTGACTGCACCAGCTGAGAATTATTCATAAAGATAAGCCTGCGATAGAGGTAACCGTCCTCTCCTCTCACATCCTCCACTGAATACTCTCCAGTCAAAGCACTGAGCCCTCGTCCAATCACTTCCCTCCAGCCTAGATCTCCTCCCACTGACAGAAACGGCACCTTAAACAGAGGGCATGGGAAAGAGAGAGGAATGAGGACCATGAAGGATGAACATTAGAGACATCTGCTTCTTAAGGGTCCCGTGAAATTAAATAAAAAACGTAGATGTTAGTTTTAAGGATATCTATTAACTACTAGCGATTAGCTGTTGTGCATTTAGAAAAAATAAACCTGATATAAACATCTTTAAACTCAACCACTCTCACTTTGTTTGTTATTTTAGTGTACCTGCTGATTGGCTGGCATTCCAGGAGGGGCGAGTTCCATGACCACTGGCGAGAGCTCTGATTGGACAGCCTGCATGTCTTCATATTCTTGGTCTCGATGCATTGCCACAATGACAAGACGTCTGAATTTTGCACTGGACGCTAACTGAGCTCGACCTTCAGCTGAACCATATAACCAATCAGACTCACGACCCTGAGGAACTAAACGTAAACAGAATAAATGCCATTAAACTGCATTATTTCATCTTTTGAACCAAACATAAAATGACTTGTGTGTTAAGTTGCACAAATATATTTGAGGGAAGAGCCAAAAATACACTGTACAGGTGTGAAAATGATTGTCTTTTCTATTATTTTTTTTCTTTTTATTCTTTATTTATTTATATACATTTTGTAAGTGTCCTTCCACAAATTCATTAGCACCTAATTTTAGATTAGCAATACACATCGATAAGAACTTAATTTAGACTATTTTAAAGCTGAATTTCTCCATATTTTTTTTTGTTTTGAACTATAATCATATATTATCAGCCTAACATCAGTCTATCCTAACAAACCATACATAATACATACATATACATAGTTGACGTCAGAATTATTATCAACAAAATTACTAGTCCCTTTAAGCTACATATTTTTTCAATAGTCTAAGTTAAGCCTTTAAATGTAACTTTAAGCTGTATAGAAGTGTCTTGAAAAATATCTAGTCAAATATTATTTACTGTCATCATGGCAAAGATAAAATAAATCAGTTATTAGAAATGAGTTATTAAAACTATTATGCTTAGAAATGTGTTGACAAAATCTTCTGTCCGTTAAACAGAAATTGGAGGGAAATTGGGGGGGCTGGGGGCTAATAATTCTGACTTCAACTATACTTATATTTTATTTATCTGGGAAAAGAAATTTTATATTCTCTGACTAAAGTAAAATATATGCTGATACAAAACTAAAAGTTCTTTCACATGTAATCTTTAATTTTAAAACTTTTTAACTTTTAAAATTAAAATTATATTATATGACAAAAATTATCCAATAAAATAGTAATCTTATTATCGTATTAGCACTATTTAAAAACAGACATTAGTGATTTGTTAGAAATTAATTGATAATTAATTTCCCTTTGAATACACTGATCGTTAAAGTTATTTTTGTTCATATAATTAGGCACACACATTATAGTTAATTTAAGTTAAATTTTAAAACAGAGAATTATAAAATAAAGAAAATAAAAAATGCATAGGCCTCAATCAAGTAATGTTTACATTCATATTTTAAAAATCTAACAAAATATTATTGTGACAAAGATACACAAAATTTACTGGGTTAGCACTAAAACTTTTTCATGCAAGTTGCTTTTTTCAGTACACTGACTGCTGGGATTTTCTTTGCAGAATCATTGATGATGTTTTTTGCCATACATGCAAACTGCTGTTTAATTATTGTTTGAAAACAAAATGTACACTACTTCTTTTGTTAGTGCACATTGTTATTCATTAGTTGAACAAGTAATCCAGACAATGCACTGTTTGTTTTGATCTATAAAGTCTGACCCTTTACTTATGTGCTTGGAGTGGCTGTCTTTTTCTGATGATGTCATTTTGACACTTCAAGAACAATATTTTTAACCACACCGTTCTTACCATTAGTTTGCTATGAGGGAATAATGCACAAAAAAGTCTCGCCCCCACAACCAATATTCAGTTTGAGTTGAAAGAACATCAACGTCCTGAAATGTCTCCATTTACATAGACTTTAACAGCACACTTATACATAAAATAAAGGAATAAACAGCCTTGCAACTCAAAAGTAGGGCTGTTTTTTTTCTACAGTAGGTGAAAAAAAACGCATAACAAAACCATACTGTTTCATTAGAGCTGCACAAAATTAGAAAAAACTGACACCGCAATATAATTCATTGTCTGCAATATAATTCACATTTTTACATGAATTGGGGTTATTTTGTACAGGGAAAATGTCTGGATAAAGTACAATTGAACAAATACAAATTCATTGTTTGCTTTTCTGTGAAATCTAACAGTACTGAGGTACAGAAATTCAATAATAGATAAAATAACACTGTATAGTGTTTTCATTGTATAAATAATTAAATGCAATTAATTTTAAAATCTTAAAATCTTAAATCTTACATAGTCCCAGGTTTTAAAAACACATACAAATAAAAATCTTTCGTTCTATTTTAGGGTTAAACCTTGAGATGACCCCACAAATCACACGTTCTGAACTGTTCAACTACTGATCAACTATTGCAGAATCACACATTGCGATATCGATGCTGAAATGATACAATATGGACCACTATGTTGCACTCTATAAAATAAAACCTAACGCTCACCAATAAAGATGGCGAAGTGATTGCTCCGCGGGGTCTTAGCAGAAGGTGGGCCGTCCTGTATGGTCAGAGTGTACCGTGGGCGTCCGCTGGCTGCGTGGCACAGCGTGAGTGAGGGTGTGCTGCTTGAGTCTGTTCCTCCTCTGAGTTTATGCAGCATTAGATTATAAGCCTGCCTCTCCTTGACTGCAGACAGCAGCTCCTCTACTGATGCCAGTCTAGCCGGAGCGCCATCCTCCCCCTGGCACAGCTCAAGAACAGCAAATGGAGGGGCTTGTCGAAACTTAGTGCAAACCAACACAAAAACGGGGAGTGCAAAGGAGGAATCGGACTCTTCGTTCTGTTGTCCGGTTAGACAATGTACTCTCACTGCCCATCCCTTAACAAAATGCTCCACTGCTAACTTTATGACATGCTCCTGGGCTAACGTTATGCAGACATACCTCCCGCCCACAGCCAAAACTCTGCCAACCTCTGCCAGCATCCGGCCTGCAAGAGCACCATCCTCTTCTGAAGCCATGGCGTCCAGAGTGCCTTTATCCAGAGTCACCTGAAAGCTCCCGCTCTCGAAGCCGGTCTGGGTGGCATCCAGCTGCTGGAAGGAGAGGTCTGGACGGCGCTCTGCATTCCTCTGGTTCATATGGGAGACCACCGTCTCGCTGATGTCAATGTTGGTCAGCTGACGGTAGCCAACATCATAGAGCTGTTCACTGAGTTCAGAGTTACCACAGCCCACCACCAATACCTGCACAACAACAGATTATTACACACAAAAAATTAGCACTTCATCCATTATGGACTAAAAAACTAAATTCAGATTAAGATTTAAACAGATAGAAAAGAAATATGCATACAAAATTGAGAAAAATAAAACCCTCTTTTCAGAATGCAACGGCTTCTGCTAGTAAAAGACAGTATTTAGTATGAGTCCATATACCAGACGCAAGTTCATCTTCTAATTTATGAGTTTTTTTCTGCTTTTTTCCCTCTGTCCACGCAATCCCATACTGCCTCTATAACACTATAGTAAGGTCTGGACTCTGTAGAGGCCATTTCATGACCATTTAAGTCTGTAAATATCAATCATGAACATCTATATTTTTATTATAGATATTATTTTACCACATTATAAATAAAACTAAATAATCACACTAAAATGACAAACTCCGGGTGCTCTGGTTTCCCCCACAGTTCAAAGACATGTGGTATAGGTGAATTAGGTAGGCTAAATTGTCTATGTAAAAACATGCTGAATAAGTTGGCGGTTCATTCCGCTGTGGCAACCCCGGTTTAATAAAGGGATTAAGCCGAAAAGAAAATGAATGAATGAAAGAATAAATAAAATGACAAATCTAATGGTGGTCAAAGACTTTTGCAGAGTACTATTTATAGTCAGAATTATTAGCCCCCTGAATTATTAGCTCCCGTTTATTTTCCCCCCAATTTCTGTTTAACGAGAGTAGATTTTTCACACATTTTTAAACTTAATAGTTTTAACAACTCATTTCTAATAACTGATTTATTTTATCTTTGCCATGATGACAGTAAATAATATTTTACTAGATATTTTTCAAGAAATGTCTAGAAAAATTAGTTTGGTGGGCAGGGAAACTGTACTCCTATGTCACATTGTGGTGGGCCTCAAAATAGGAGGGATTTGGATCCTATTTTAACGTCAGGAAATTAAAAAATGAGACTTAATGTCTTTACATGACCTCAATATGACAATAGACACACTATACTTACACACAGATCTGTCCAAACAGCTTACAAAAGATGATTTTCATTATAGGTGCCCTTTAAAATGACACAGACTGAAACCAAAACTTTTAAAAAGTGGTAAAAGTGAGACGCTTCTTCCTTTCTTTTGTCCATTCTTTCTTGAGATGCATATTATTCTTCTATTTAGTTACTGATGCCTACTTTGCAGCTTTCAGCATTGAATTGAATAATTTATAATAATATTTTGTGTTTTGCAGCAGAAATATTATTTATTAAATTGACATGCATACAAAAACACCGCAATGCTTCATTTTTGTTTGATGCAAACCACTGATTTATTTTTCATAATTTAACAGCAGAACTACAGCATTGTTCACAGTCAATTAAATAGTGCAAATATTGTTTGGAAGTCATATACATGCGATTTCAAAACCAGTATTTAAAGCAGTGTGATAAACAATATAGGGAGCTCTTGTATAGGTCAATAGACACAAGCTGTCAGTGTAAAAAAAAAAGAATGAATGTGTGAATCTAAAACCAACTTTCCCTCAATTAATTACTGTGGTAAAGTTGGTTTTATATTTACACATTCTCACTTTCTCCTTAATATAATTTCAGAAAAGTGTTCTTTGCAAATACTAAATACTGAAATCATCTTTCAACCAACGACTATCAAAGTGAAACATAGTTCACAGTCATTTAAATAGTGGTAATGTTGTTTTTAAGTTATAGCCTACTTGCATGTGCTTTCAATATAGCTAAATTTGGTTTTATTCCTGCACATTTGTTCATTTAACTGTCTCTTTAATGTTTGCTAAAATAATTTAAATATTCGGTCTGAAATGGCATGCAAGTTATAACTTTAAAAGTTCAAAACAACATTAACACTATTTATTTGACTATGAACAATGTTGTACTTCAATAGTCATTGGCTGCTAAAATTATTTCCCTATTTAAAATTGACAAAGAATACTTTTCTGAAATTATATTATTAAGGAGAATGTCTGAATATGCATATCTAAAAACAACTTTACCTCCATCAATTCATTTAACGCACCCTTGCAGAATAAAATAGTTAATATTCAATAATAATATAAACTTGAGTGTATAGGTAACGTTATGCTGAAGTTTAAGCTTCTCTCAGTCAACCTGACATGAGATCACCGGAAATAACTACAAGAAACAAATGTATTAGTTGCAGAAAGTAAAGTAAAAGTGACCTTATCTCGTGGTTTGATGTATTTATGCAGAACCCCGCAGAGTGAGTTGTAGTCTCCGTACCACTCAAACGCCTTCTCTCCTCTCTTACGGAAAAAGCGCTCCCAGTAATCCGCTGAGCTGAACTCCTCAGCGGTGCGAGGTAACAAACTCATGCTGACGGAGCAGACAATCAAGGATTTATTTGTCAGGTAATACCGATGAAATTTGTTCTATGTTGCTGTCGTTGACATGAGGCTCTCCCACATGTTTTGCACTTTCCACCCGGAGAGATTTTACAGAAGGACATCACAGAACAAGCAGCGATTGGTCGGTGTGGGAGATGGGCCCGTCTACAGTGCGGCGTAGAGGTTTGATTGGTGAGCGTTTTAGCTAGACGAATACGATTGGTTTGTGGCATGACCAGGGCATGACCATGACAGAGCTTGTGTGTTGATTTTACAGTTCCGACAGAGACTGAAGCATGGCAGTACCGACCGGTAGAGCGTTGGTTTTCGTTACCGGGAACGCGAAAAAGTTGGAAGAGGTGAGACTGTGGAGTGTGTTTAAAATAATGATTTACCCACAAAGCATACAATCTAAATACAGTTTAGAAGAGAATACAAGTGACTCGCAGTGAAGGAGTAGTCTCTCCTCTTGTTATTATGGGAGTCTTTATAAATACAATGAACTGTCAAGTACAGTCATTGCTGCTAAATAACACTTATTTAGTTGGTTGACCTTTGCAGTGTTTGAAACAGTTAATTTCAAGAATAAAATGCACACCACGCACAAAAAAAATAGGTTTTGCATTGGCTAGTGTAGGTACTTAATGTGTCTGTACTAAATCAACTGCAAAATGTCTAAAATGCTGGTTCATCTGTTGTTTTATTTTAAATGTTTTAGGTTTTGCAAATGTATGAATTACCTTTTTGTTAGTATATCAAAGTGCAGACTGAAAGCTTTATCGTGTAATTTTATAATAACGAAACAAGTTAACAAGCTGAATCCATAAATAAAGTACACATTTGATATTTAAAGAGTTGACATTTTCCAGTTTGTGCTTCAGGCCTAGGAGTCAAAAGTTTTCTATTGGTGCTTTACAGATTTTCCAGCATTTTTATAACCAGTCCAACAGAGTTTATATAAATGTACAGTATATAGTGATTGGGGAAGAGGGGCGGGGCTGACGTTGGATGGCGGGGATGGCGTTGGATGGCGGGGGACTGTCACGGACGGAGGACGAAAGTGAAGGGCAGGGGGTTGGGGAGTCTGGAGTTCCAGATCTGGTGTGTTCCGGCACAAATAAGCCCTGTGTAATATTCATTCATTTTCTTTTCGGTTTAGTCCTTTTATTAATCTGGGGTTGCCAAAGCGGAATGAACCACCAACGTATCCAGCATATGTTTTTAAGCAGCGGATGCCCTTCCAGCTGCAACCCATCTATGGGAAGCATCCATACACACTCATTCATACTCACACACTACGAACAATTCAGCTTACACAATTCACCTGTAACACATGTCTTTGCCACATGAACATAAATTCACATAAAAAGCATATATCTTAACCTTAGATCGAAACAACTGTTTGTATTTTCCAGAATAACTAACCACAAAGTTATGGGATCAAAAAAAATCAATCTGTAAACATTTACATAAACTGTTTTATACTTCAAATGAGGAAAATAAACGCATTATGGATTTGACAAAAAAAGTCTGTGAGTTTATAGTCTACAACATATTTTGTAGAAATTCTGTGAATTAAAATGCACAACACAAAATAAATAATGATAATCAAAAGGAGAAGAGTATTATAGAACAAACAGGATTGATTTTGTTTTATTTTATATTTTTGCATTTATAAGGAAAAAGTGTCTTACGGATGTGACATCTCTCCGTTATTGATGTGACCGATCTGAAATTGCCACTTGTGTGACTTTGGTAAATTAAATATAATAGTTTGAAAACATTAACAGAGACATTTTGAGTATTTCTTAAGTACTGTAAAATACTTGCTTACAAAAAAAATAGAAAATGATTCCCATATTTTGGTAAAAACTTATTTTTTTCATGGCATGGTTGACACTTGCATAGAATTGCTCATCTGTTTCTTTCAAATGGTTATTTAATTTAGCAGAGTAAAGACACAGAAATATGAAATTTAGACTTAATTATTTTGTGGCAATTGAAGCTGAATGTAAGATTCAGAAAGCAGAGACAGTCAAATATTTGTTATCGTGGGAGCCTTAAAGATAATATTTTCAGGTCAAAATGTCATATATAAAGCTCTATTTAAAAACAACATCCTATTAAAATAAACAGTTAATAAGGGACCATAATACATTTTATTGCATTTTAAAAGATTAAAAATCTACTCACAAGTGGATTAAACTGCGGTTTGAAGAACAGTGGCAAATTATGAAGATTTAAAATTTACAATTAGTATTTTGAACTAAGTCCAGTCATTGCTTCCAAATAAACAAATAGTTGGTTAGTGACCATTAAAACATGGTTTTTAATTCAAGAGTAAATGCCCATAAACATGCTAAAAACGTAGACTAAAATTATTAAATATACCTGAAAAACATATTTTCATCTTTGCCTTTATGCGAAAAAAAATTAAGATAAAAAAGAAACCTGTAAAATATTACTTAAAAACAATTACTAATTCATCAAAATGAAACTAACTGAGAGGCGACACGAAGGCTCAGTGGTTAGCACTGTCACCTCTCAGCAAGAAGGACTGGTTCGAGTCTCTGCTGGGTTAGTTGGCCTTTCTGTGTGGAGTTTGCATGTTCTCTCCGTGTTGGTGTGGGTTTCTCTGGGTGCTCTGGTTCCCAGCCATTAGCCATAGTGTACAGCAGTGGTCACCAAACTTGTTCCTGGAGGGCCGGTGTCCTGCAGATTTTAGCTCCAACCCTAATCAAACACACTTGAACAAGCTAATCAAGGTCTTACTAAGTATACTTGAAACATCCAGGCAGGTGTGTTGAGGCAAGTTGGAGATAAACCCTGCAGGGACACCAGCCCTTCAGGACCGAGATTGGTGACCCCTGGTGTACAGTATGAGTGTGAATATGAGAGCGTATGGATATTGTCCAGTTGTGGGTTGCAGCTGGAAGGGCATCCGCTCTGTAAAATAAATGCTAAATAAAGGCCCCTGACGAATAAAGGTACTCGGCCGAAGGAAAATGAATGAATGAATGAATGAATGAATGAATGAATGAATGAATGAATGAAACTAACTAAATGAGTCAAATCTAAAATTCTCTGTTCAAACAGGTAGTTCAAATCCTTGGTGACAAATTTCCCTACAAACTGATTTCTAAAAAGATTGACTGTAAGTATTGAGCTGTTGTTTTTATGCCTTTATGGCATTTTTATGACTAAAACATGCTGTTGATGTATTTGCAACGCAACTTCTCTTCCAGTGCCTGAATATCAAGGTGAACCAGATGACATTTCCATACAGAAGTGTAAAGAAGCAGCAAGGCAGGTTTGTGAATTTAACACTTTTCCGCCTTAGTTTCCCCTCAGTTGAGGCGTCATACTAATGCTGTGTGTTTTGTGTAAAGGTTGATGGGCCAGTGCTGGTAGAGGACACCTGTCTGTGCTTCAGAGCTTTAGAAGGACTGCCAGGACCTTACATGTGAGCCATTTGCAAGTAAATTTGCTAATGTAACCCATAATTAAGTCCTTCACTACAAAAAATGCTTTTCTTATTTGGATTTTTTTTGTGTACTGTGTACTGTCAAATTTTTCACTTTTATTGTCACATCATCAGCAGCATGTGTACTATGATGAGTGAAAAGCTTGCTGGCTTCAGACAGTGCAAAATTCACAGTGTAATTTTTTTTTCTAATCTGAATATCTACAAATTTTTAAATAAACAAGAAACAAGAAAAATAATCTGCCAATGGGATAAGAAAAATAATCTTAGAAAAAACAAAATTCTTATTTGAAATATTTTGCTTATTTTATGTCTATATGTGTCTAGAAAATGCTTGAAAAGTTGTTTTAAAAATATATATAATCAAAAATAAAATGCATCCCCAAAATCAAAAAGGACATGGTTGCGATTTTAGCAGAAATTCAATATAAAAATACAAGCATATTCTTTTACAATCTAATTTTTGAGGCTCTGGCAGGTATTTCCGCGTAGAGATTAGCATTTTTGTTGTCTCTGGAAATCATTTTACAGTATTCAAATGGGTGCATTAACACATTGTTTTTAAACTAGCTGTCATTTTTACCCATATCACCCAATAATTTATCAGTATGATAAATATGCACTCCTAATTTATAATAAATATTGTGTTTATATTAATATAAAGAAATAACCAAATACTAAGTTTACTACAGCCAAAGAGTATTTGTATTTTACTACAACACACCACAGTTTACTGTAGTAGAAACTAAAGTATGCTTCAGTATTTATTATAGTTTATCAATTCACGATTGTTAATAATAAAATATGCTGTAGCATTTATTACAATATGTTGTTGATTCTTAAATATATACAGTATAATATACTTTACTAATATTATTAATATACAGATATACAAAAACACTATATTTATTATAAATTACTTATTTTTTTCATGCAAATTCCTTTTTATGCTGTAAATATAAAAATGTACACATTTAGTTTTTACCCAGTGCACTAAATATTTGTTCTCGTGACAGAAAATGGTTCTTGGATAAACTGAAGCCTGAAGGTAAGACGCATTTTACATGGAACAATTATAAACAATAAATAATTGTATAATAATATACAAAAAATAGAACTGTTATACAAATATGGTCTCAAACAAAGCAAGTGTGACTCATAACTTTCTCATAAGTGTGAATTCATAACTTTAATAAACATTAAAGCTACATCAGCATCATTTGTGCTAATGCATTCTGTCAGACTTAGTCATCTTTAACATTATTGCAGGATTGTACAAAATGCTGGCGGGTTTTGAAGATAAATCAGCCTGGGCTCTGTGTACGTTTGCTTTCTGTGCTGGAAAAGAGGAGCCAGTTCAGCTGTTCAGAGGAATAACTGAGGTGAGATTTTTTTGTATGTGTTGAATTTTAGTGTTCATATAGACTATGCAAGTTTATTAAAAGCTGAAACAAGTAGAGCTGGGCAATATATAACGGGGAAAATAAGTATTGAACACGTCACCGTTTTTCTCAGAAAACATATTTCTTAAGGTGCTGCTGACTTGAAATGATTTCCCTGGATGTTGGTAACAACCATAGAAATCCAAATATGAAAAGAAAAAGAATCTAATTAGTTTACA